ATAAACACATCACAAGTGTCACAAATTTAAAACATAATTTGAGATTGTCGGTAAGGCAGCACATCGTTCCGTCGGAAAGGCAGCACATCGTTCCGTCGGTAATGCCGCATATGGTTTGCTCCGATACCAACAGGGTTCTCTAGCTGTGTTTACCTTTTTTGGAGTTACGAAATGTTTAAATAAAGAAATAATACACATATTGGTAAAAGTTAGTTATGTTAAATTTCTTACTATTTTTCCACCATTATAACACCAACACTATAACAGAAATCTACTGAAAAACTAAGAATTACAATGATAATACTGTAGATTTCATCAATAAGTTCTCGTTGTGGTTTTGAGAAACTGGACACTATTAGAGTTTCGAAATCCACCATTTCATTAACATATATTCAGGAACATAAGTCAATTTTTAAAAAGCCGAAAGTCGAATTCGACGATTGGCTTATAATCTTAATAATTAAATCATACATCGTTTTGGTTTCAATTAATTGTAGTATAATAACTAAAACATACATCGATTTGGTTTCAATTAATTGTAGTATAATAATTAATTAATTGATAATAAAGTTAGAAATTCACAAATTGAATAGGCACGGCACAAGCCAACAATTAAACTTTTCTAATGAATAAATAAAGGTAATTTTTTAAAGGAATTGTACATAAGTGTTCATATAAGGTAGAGACAACTTAGTGATTTCTTGGGTCGAAATAAGCATAAAACCAAGGATACAACTTTTTTCGGAATAATTTCGTTGGCCAAATATCCGCCATCTTGTGTTTTTTTTCATAAACTTTTTAATATTGATATTGTTTTGGCCGATCTATATGAACCTTGATATGTATTTTGAGGTAGAATATACATCAAGGTCAAAATATGATATACATATGTGATATGTGATTTATAATACACATATATATATAATATCTCTTTGATATATATATATATATATATATATATATATATATATATGTATACTTAAAATATTATAAAGATAGAAAATATTGATATAGATGTGGAAAAGACCCATATAGGAAAAGATTTATATTGGTCTAATTCAAATTACAATAACTAACTTACTTACTGATTTTATGAAAAAATTTCATGAACACTTTAGTTAATTGAGCATTTAGAATTTCCTATCAAACGACACCAAGTCCAAAAATATAAAATGAATGGCATGCCGATTTTATGATTATGATTTTTTATTTTTATGATTATTTATATTATTTTTATTGATATTATGATTTTTTTGTTGTAAGGCAAAATGAGGTGCAACCTGACTAGCTTAGCCCATCGATCTCTATTATTACTACAGCCTTAGCCTTATTCTACCTAATGATACAACAATGCAATGATTTGCAGGAAATATGTGTTAACCTCTAAACCTTTACCTAGATACAGGGTGGCTGAAAAGTAACTTGCACCCCCTTAACTTTTTAACCACATGATATATTAGAAATCTGTTTGCGACAACCTTTTTAGATTTGAGAGGCTACGATAATTATGGTTAATTTTGAAAATGTTGCCCTTAGAGGTACTGGGGGTAGGGGTTAGCTCAACAATTTAAAATGGGAAGTATAGTCGGGTTTAGTATCATTTTACAGGTCTTGATGAAACTTAACAATGGACAGAAAGAATAAATACCCCCGCCGCAGCAAACCTGCCGTCTAAGCGAATTTCCATTTGGCCGAATTGATTTTCAATTGATCTATTTAAATAACATTAGGTTTAACGAGTACCTAGGTTTGCTGCTACAAGGAAACTAATAAAGTAGTGTGTTTTTAGTAAAATATTGATAGCTTACTATAAAATAAATAAATTTGCCAAGTTTGATCAAAATATATCCATAAACAAGCTAACTACAACATTTTACAATATTCTCCATAAGAATAACATGGGAATTTTAAATTTACAATTTTTTTAGTTTTCTCCGTAACCAATAACCGTACAAAAACACTTTGATATACTGAATTGTTTGTTTTTTTAAGCTCTTTAAGAAGGCTTAGAGAAAAATTGGGAAATTTTGTGTTTTGAGGGTAAAAAGTGAGAAAAACCAATTTTTACCCCATAAAACCCCCCATAAAACCCTGTTCCCATGGTCCGATCATGCTGGATCGCAAACTCATTCAAGTTTATCCCGCCTTACACCTTCAAACCAAATTTCATCAAAATCGGATAAAAATTACTCAAGTTATCGTGTTCACGGACACATATATATATATATATAAATCTATATATATATACCTATATATATATACATATATAAAAATTTGAACGAATGGTGTTTTTAGCCTCTGGGGACATTAAAATGAAAAAGTAAATCGGTCCCGGGCCTAAGTCTTACCATGAGACCTACGGTAATAGCTACTTCCCTATAGGGAAATTCGCTAAAATCAGACCACTAATAACAAAATGGCAACTAAAAATTACTTTTCCCTACAGCCACCCTCAAAATGCTCATTTCATCTAATTTAGCCTCAGAATAGTTCCCGGCAATTTACAATTATATTAAATTAATTTGTTTTTTTAAGATTTTCTCAATATTTATGCATATTATTGTTTTCCAACAAATACTTAAGTCACTGATAGCGACTAAGCCTTCGCACAGGCTTCCAGCCCATGTAGGCTTATTTCCTATGTCTATTTAACATAGCTTTCTCTGAAACCTTCCATCCTTTGTTATTATTAAGTTTACATGTATTGATAATTATTTTATCTATGCAATAACAAGGAAGGTGTCTGTTTCACTGGAAGTTTATGTTTATATTTTATTCTGTTCATTATTTTTGGAAATAAAGTATATTTTGATTTGATTTGATTTGACCCGACAAAACGGGCTTCATTGCACAGATTATAGTAATTATTTATTTGATTTACAGTAACTTTATGAAAAATATAATGTGTAACACGAGTGTAAACTGCCTTTGCTGCAGTCGAGAAACTTTCCACACTCGACTGTCCACTGATACACAAATAACTATTAACAATCCGCCTTAAAAAGCATCGTAAAAGCATTGTGGTCGTAAAAAATATTAACTTATTTATTAACTTTCAGTTTGCATACAATATAAAATGAGATAAAACTCAATCAGCCTTATGGGCCTAAGCTTCAAAACGTAAAAATAACGGAAAAATGATTCTACATCACGTGCAAACCAAACTGAATTTTTTTAAATTTCAGCAAGTTTCGTAATCTGGGACATTTTACTGTGTCCGGTCCTGTGATCAACAACCTAACACATTAAATAATAACTATAACTTGCAGCTTTTGCAAGGTTCTAATGCGGTTAGTAACATAAAGAAGGAAATAAAACTTCCTTAGTCATATCTGCAAAGTTCTAAACTAGTTGCATTTTTCCTATCTAGAAGGTGAAGAATATTTGCATTTCCGAAGGTTCTCTTTACCTTGTGGTTTATCGATAATCGTCTTCCTCCTTTCATGCCTAAATGTTTTCAATATTTTTTTATATTATCATATAACGTTAGTTTCAAGCTAAAAATTGATTCATAAACGAACTGAGAAGTATTCATTTGTATTCTTGTTACTAATAAAAGGGTATTTACCAAGTTTTTTTTTCGGTTATCGTGATTATTCAAATGTTATCATTCAATTAAAAAAATATTTTATCATCATCAAGTAACACGACAAAAGTTATATTTATTCTTATACCTATAATTTCCATCAGCTAAAACCATTTCCATAGTAAAAGAACCCTCAAAGAGAAAATAGCCCCAAAATAGGAGGATACTCAACAAAAAGTGCATATTTATGTTTTCTTTGAATATACTGTATATAGAATGTGTACCTCAGTATTGAAAGTCAATAGCTATAT